GGGAAAGAGGTATCCAAGAGGGAAAATGAGGCATTCAAAAAATCCTTGGCAACTGAGAGAACAAGAAGGATAGAGAATTGATATTGCAGGGACAGAACTTCTGGAAAATGGAGGGAGATGGGAGAAGCCACACAAGAAGTTTCAGACAAGAATAAACAAGCAGCTTATAAAAACACATAAGGACTCCCAGGTGCTGTTAGGAGCTCAGTTTATAGAAACAACAAAATGTAGGCAGCCTTTGGTGGCAAATTCTGAACACAAGTCCAAATGGTAGTGGTGATTACATTTCCCCTTCATATTCTTTTACCTGAAGACTAAAGGAAGTAGACATATTCCTTTTATTTCCAACTATGATTTGGAATTCACTGATTCAAGCAGAAATATCTTAAAATGGCTTTCAGAAACCACATTTTCTTACACAGCAGTTGCACACTGACACACGAGTCACAGTGATTTCAGTGATCCAGAATACTTAATTACTTTTCACCCTGGTTAGTGCTGCAGAAACAGCAGTGGGAATATGGCCAAATTAAGGTCTTTCTAATGGGGCATCAATATTAGGTTTCATGTTCACAGTAATGACCCCTGAAAGCAAAGGAGTTCCAAGTGACTGAATTCCAAAGACAACTGTCCCTCCCAGCTCCAGAACAAACCCAAATGCCTCTGGAAAGCTTACACTGCCCTGGAAGCCAGAAGGTCATGCTTCTCCTCATCTGAAAATGTCCCACGAGGGACTCATACGTAGAGCTCAATAAAGCTCCATTTCTACAGAGACAAAATACATTCTGCGGTGAATGTCCTAGAAGAACCACATAAGGAGGTAAGAGAGAATTTGCCCAGCCCAGGTAAAATTTGTGATAGTGTCCTGATGGCGCTCCTTCCTGTAAAGTTCAGGGCCTTTCTGCAGAAGAGAAAGCCGAGGAGGCTGAGTGGCCCAGAAACACTGTAAATAGTTTGTTCCTTCAGTACACTGAGCAGCCCATACACAGCCCAAAGAAGCAGAGAAGTGAGGGGAAGAAAAGCCTTTAGATTAACAAGCCTGATTAGGTTTTCATCTCCTTTTGCTTATTAATTTGCCTGGCTCATACACAGAATAAAGTGTTTTGGGGTGTTTATCAGAATGGCACGGAGTTCTGACACCACAGATGGCAGGAGATCTGCAAACGCATTTAACAAAGGGAAAGTTGAAAGAGGATACATTCATGCTTCCCAGCATTATAGTGACTCTGGGATGTCACTATAGTAACCTGCTGCAAAAGAACTTTTGCCAATGATTCACTAGCAAGCTCCATGTGCAAACATTACCAAGATGCTGCAAAATAAACAGTCCTCACAGATGCACACTGTTACAAGAAGTGTTGTTCACAGAGCAAAAGACTGAAGCAAAGAAAACAAAGGTCCTACAGCTCAACATCAGGCACACTTTTCCTTCTATACATGCTCTGCAAAAGACAGTAAAGGAGTCTGAAATCCATCAGTAAAGCACAACAAATGTTTTGGATTTTTGAGCAGCATGCCAGGAAGGGTTGTAAACAGTAAGTTGAGAACAGGACTGCATGCATTGGCATGCACATCCAAAGCGCTAAGATCTCAAGCAGAAAGGAGGGTGATGGCCTGACTCCATTGTGTTTTCTACAACCCTTATCAAACTTGTGCTTCAAGCACAAGAGAAAGGGATGTGTAAATGAAAGGTGACCACTAAATCAGGCTGATCACCATGAGATACATGCTGTATTTGTGGCAGTAACTTCACTTTAGGATTTCTGAAACACTACAATTAATGTAGCTGCAACAAGCACCAGAAAGCGTCCCACTGCAAAGCTAAGGTCAAGTTTCACAGGGGCAGTAACAATAAAATTCAGGCAGCTAATGTTTTCATCATATGGAAGAAAAAAAAAAAAGCTCTTAATTGTTGATGATGTTAATTAAACTTATTTGAGATCACCAAAGCCTGCTACAGCTATTAACAAGAGAATTGGATGAATAACTGGATGAACCATTAAGCAATTAATGAAGCTGAAGTGAAAGATGCAAATAAGGTAGTAAGAATATTGATGGTGGTAAGCTATCATTTCCAGTTTTTGCATCAAGAATGGAAGTCTCTTAAATGGGTTTCAATTAAAATGGAGCAGTCAGTTATGCTAGAATAGGAATCATGAAGTACAAATTTCTGGACTGTATTCTGCAGGAGATCAGCCTCAACTGAAGAGATGAAGCACATGCAGAAAGAAGGCACCGGAAACCAGCCATCATGGACTGAAGCCCCTGCCCCAAAAAACCCAACCTGAAGATAATCCCAAGACATGCAGAACACTGAAATCCTTTTGTTGTATGTCATCCAAAGCTTTGACTTAGTCCGTTTCCCTATTTGCTTAAAAAAAGAGGCAGGATAGGGAGAATAATAATTCTCTACTTTACAAGTGTTTGCAAGGCAGCGTTTGCAGCTTGTCAAAGTGCTTTGAGATTCACAGATAAAATTCTGTAGTAGAATGTATTAATTTACATTTACAGATGTACATTTAAAATTTGCATTATTTACATCAATACATTTTGGAGATTGGGGATTGTATGGAGCACTTCATTCTTCCCTTTCTGTTCTCATCCCTTCTGGTATCACTTAGATCAAAGCAAAAGAGAGAAAAGCCACACAAAATTGTATGTGCCTGCTGTCACGATCTGCAGATGTCATAATCCCAAAAAGCAACAGCTACACAACCAGGCCACCACCAAAAAGCAGCAAGTAACTAGTATGTATGACGCTCATAAGATTAGTAAAATGAGAATATGACTTCCACAACAGCCTGAAGACTATGTCTGGGTACATAGGAGAAAGAGATGGAGACTACATCTGCAACAAGAAAGGTCTCCGAGTCCTGCATTCACGCTAATGAATGGCAGGATGAAGCGTGTGAGAACACAGAATCTCTCTGTGCATTCAGGCTTCTGATGCTGCTTTATTTAACACCTGTCCCACTGACAGAGAAATTGCTACAGAAAATAACTTAATTTCCCCCCCACCCCCCCACCCCGTATTTCCTGAAAGAAGAATTCAACTGATTTTATGACTTCTTCTTTCACCAGGAAGTCATAAAATAGTGCTTTCCAACCTAAGGAATGCATTACAAAGCCACACATCCAAACACTGGGTTCAATCACATCAACTACAGATGTCTGTCCCAAAACCAGGGTTGTTCTTGGAAGGAACACAGAAATGTTTGTTAAATATCTAGGATGCTGGTTTAGGACTTGATAACCTCACAACAATTACGTGTATGACACATGCTTCAGTTACCCACCTTAACAATTTGGGCTGCAGCCTCAAGTTAAAACATACCAACTCAAAAGCCTCAATTTGACCTGTTACTTTTTAACTGTATAAAATGTACGTGACATCAGAAATAGGTTCTATTGTTTATCTTATCCTCCTCCCCTGTCCTCCCCCCAATTTTCCTGTTAACATCACAGGAACAAATGAAGTGCCCTATCAGTAGAACACAACGAGAGACACGCCCTTCCCCCCCCCACCCCCCCCAAAAAAAAAAAACAACCAACCAAAAGTAAAATGAAGCCCGAAATCCTCAAATCCTCCAGGGTTTCTCTCTGCAAACAATTTTACACCAGTTATTGTTAAAATAGGGAATAGGCTTCACTCAATCAGCTGATACACTTCTGCATAGGTCTTGTGACAGCCTAGATGAAGGAATTTATTTTCAAGGTGGCAAGTGGATCATAATGGTTCAAGCCTTGAAACAGGAATGAGCTCAGTAGAGATGATAACGACAAATCAATAACATTGTTATTTAGATCCCTACACCATGTATTTCTATTACAAGCCAAGAATATAATCTTCTAGGTCACAAGATAACGAAGATGCAATACACTGCCTGAATGCCAGACCTTGTACTGAAATTTGAGTAGAAACAATAAAAAAAAAAATAATCTTAGAAACACTTGATTGTTGCCCCATTTGGAGGTTTGAATAGCAAAAAAGCAGCAGAAGCATTCACCTGGGAGTAAACAAGTTGTGTATGCAATCGATACTTTTCCTAATACGCAGGCATGGATATTGAAAGAGGAAAATTTGACACCCATTTTATCAATTAAACAATACGTTAGTTAAGGTATAACACTTACAAAATCAACTGTGACTGGAAATGAAGGCCAGAGACAAAAAGAACAACCACACAGGCAGAGACAGAAGTCTTCCTGAAGTAGACAGGTAAGCTGCTGATTTGATTATATTCTCCAGACAGCAACCAGAACTATCTTGCTGAGATATGGTGTTGAGGGATACCACTCCAGACAGCCATTATCAAATGAACACCATAACCTTTCAAATACAGAGCCCTACCTACATAGAGTATAATCCAAAAGCAAAAGCGAGACTACCAGCCTCTCTCATCTGCAATATCCTTTTGCATCTGCAGTCTAAATTACATTGGCTTTTGCTTTACAAGCTTATCACATTGTGAATTCATGTTTAATTTGATGTCCAGCGTCCCCCTACAGAGTAACACCATGCACAAAAGCAGTACTGTTGAAAAACTGCATGACAAGAAATCTATTTGGCTTCACTCTGAATATTACACCTAATTTTTAGTAAATTCACCTGAGAGATATTGACATATTTCAAAGCAAAAAAGAAACCGGGGTCCTCTATTTTCACAAGAAATAAGGAATGGTCTTGCAAGCTAAATATGTGAAACTTAGTTTTGCCTTAAGTAATGGAACACGTGGTAGAAGTTTATAAATATTTGAAAGGAGATTGTATTAAAGAGTGAAGGAATTATTGGGGATAATACACATGGGAACGTATCTGGGAGTGAAAGCTGGAAAGAGAAAGGACAGGAGATTTTAAATTCTGCACTGTAATTTCCACACATTTCTGCACAAAATTCTCCACTTTTGACTGGATTATGCAGAAGAAATGCAGTAGAGGGAACACTTTAATAAGAATTTATATACATATATTTATATACCATTATGTATTAATATATTTCTACATACAGTTGTTTATATATATATATTACATTAGAAAACAACCACGTATTGGTGATCCACTGATGACAAAAATGAAGAAAAACAGAGGTATTATCAAACAGTTAATTAGCTACCCCTTTTATTCAGAACCATGCTGACCTGCTAGCAAGTCCCCAACTCCCAGTTGGTATAAAATAAAAATCAGAAGATATGTAATGATTGCTTCAGGATGGGAACATTACATAGGATGAAGAAAATGAGCAACACAACAGCACACCATTCTAACAAGGAAATCCCCAAAGGGAAAGTCCTCTGCTGCCCATCAAGGAAATTCACTTCTGGAACACAGAGTAAGGTCAGCACATGGGAACAGCTTTGCCTTTTACATACACATAAGCAGCAGCATAAGCATACTGGGAGGAATGCTGCTTTGTTCTAGCCAGCTCTGAATTATTAAAGCTATCATGTTTTCTTCCACAGGGTGGCTAGTTCTTTATTAGCATCAGGGTGGTTAGCATTAACTCAGCTAAAATAAGAAGGAATTCAAGCATCAGCATAACGTTCGTTATACTGGTAACCTAATTTAATAGTTGAACAAACATGTCAGAGAACTATGTGTCTCATTATATAAGTAAAGCAAATATATAATACTGGCAGGCCATCATACCTGCTACACCAAACTCTCTACAATAAAATAGAAACCAAAACAATACAAAAAGATACTTACTAGTTGGGTATATACACTTGTTTTAGTTTGCTTTCTGCTTCTGCTGCTTTCAATCGTTTCTTTAAAAAGAAAAGAAGAACAAAGAAAGTTAAAATAAAAATAAAATAAGCAATATTTTTATAGGAATATTACTTGACTTGAGGTAAAACTTCAAGTACTTATTAAGGTACAATGAAGTTCTCCTTTCACTGAGCAGCTACCACAAAACCTGCTTCCAACAAGAAAGCATCCTCTGAAAACAATTGCGAACATCAGATGACTTTGTACATGGCTTTTCAAAAAGTCAAAGAGATGACAATCTACTGCTTATAAGGACAAACTTTTAATTCCCATTCACTTCAATACATATTCATGCATTGTTCCTGCCACAACCTCCCTTTTTTTTTTACCTGCAGAGGAAAACCTGACATATCAGTCTATGTTTGTTCTCCATGACAACATTCACCAGCTGGACAATAACAGGTATAGTAATGCACCCTCTCCATCACATCTACTCAACAGCTGAATCATTTCAAGGAAGACTTTTTTTGTTGATAGTCGTCACTTTTGAAGACCAAGTGACACAGGAGATCTTCTTTAAAAAAGGCCCCTAATGAAAACCAACACTGCCAGGACATTAAGGAACATTAACACAGATGTGTTTACAGGAAACACATATGAGTAGAGTTTCAGAGCATGGGGACACAGTACACACCATTTGTCTCCTTCTGTGGCCCTACTTCAGTAAAACCATCCATTAACTTCTGTCTACATTTCTGTAGTAATGGATCAGAGGACCTTTTCAATGGGATGTATGGAGGAAATTCCCCTAGAATGGCTCTGCTCCTTTCTTTCATTTAGCTACAGCTGTGAACTTGCCAATAGCCCACAAGAACATGTCAGAGGTGTGCAGTTAGCATAAGCTTTACTAACTGGCAAGAATCCCTTTTATAACTCAAACCTTCACACCATTTAAAAAGAGAGACATTCTAAGGCTCAAGTTTTCTCTTTATTACATAACCTAAATTAATTTAGTGTGAACTTCTGGAGGCCTCTAGTCTGACCTCCTGCTCAAAGCCAGGGTCATGGTCTTCAACATCCCTGCTGGTAACACCAGTCTGCATAAACCCGCAACGTTTTCCAGACAAACCAGCAGCATGGTGATATTCTAGACAAACAGGTTAACCTAACATTTTCTATGCAGCAGCCTTGAGGTACAGTCTAGGAAAATAATTGAAAGCTAAATTCAGTATCTTCACAGAAACAGAAAGCACCAGAAAAAGGTAATAAAATTGAAGAGCGTGTCACTGAGGAACTGGACAAACATTTTTACAGGGTCACAATCAACACACAGAAACAACAAATTAAAAGTTTCCCATAAGCATAAAGCTTGCTCTGATCAGAAGGACAGGCTTAAGCAATGGTTTTCCATTGGATAGTCTGTCAGTTTCTCGCCAAAGCTCTCTACACTCGTTAAGAATTCCCTTCTTTCCTTCTCCTGCAAATAAAAGTCAACCTATCTTAGACATCAAAGAATGAACTTTTCAGAGAAAAGAACAAGGACTGAAAAAGCAGAACTTCTGAAAGTTATCCTGATACTATGGGTACACCTTCACAGTGCTGCAGTCAAAAGCTGACTTCTTTCTGCTGGTGTAGGCAAGTTTCCCAGATCCTGATGAATCCTACAGACTTGGAGGAATCAATAATACAGGTTTTGCTGGCAACTGGTGATGGAACTAAAAAGGTCCTCCCTTTGAATACAAGCCACAATTCAAAGTCAAACATTTTCAAACCACCCTACCAACGTCATTTTTATGTAAGAAACCAAAGCATCCAATGATGCTTCAAAAAGTGCTATGACTGTGGCTTTCCAAACAGCATCAGAATTCCTCCTCAACTTTGCAGAAAGACACCACCCAAAAAAAAGTCACTCTTCGACAAAATGCATGCTCACATGCCTTTCTGCTCAAGACCTGGAGGCTGTTCCACCCACAGGCTGAACTGGAAAACAGGCAGTCTTTCCCCAGGCACAGATTACCAGGGCAGTTATGTCAACAGATGAACAGCCACAGAGCTCACCATCTCCCCAAGGAAGTCCAATATAGATTCATAGAATGGTTAGTGTTGGAAAGGACCTTTAGATCATCTGCCATGGGGAGGGATGCCTCACACTAGACCATGTCACCCAAGGCTCTGTCCAACCTGGCCTTGAACACTGCCAGAGGTGGAGCATTTATCACTTCCTTGGGCAACCTGTTTCAGTGCCTCACCACCCTCACAGTAAAGAACTTCTTCCTTATATCTAACCTAAGCTTCCCCTGTTTAAGTTTAAACCCATTACCCCTTGTCCTACTGCTACAGTCACTGACGAAGAGTCCCTCCCCAGCATCCTTATAGGCCCCCTTCAGATACTGGAAGGCTGCTATGAGGTCTCCACGCAGTCTTCTCTTCTCCAGGCTGAACAGCCCCAACTTTCTCAGCCTGTCTTCATAAGGGAGGTGCTCCAGCCCTCTAATCATCCTCGTGGCCTTCCTCTGGACTTGCTCCAACAGCTCCATGTCCTTTTTATGTTGAGGACACCAGAACTGTACACAGTACCCCAAGTGGGGTCTCACAAGAGCAAAAGTAGAGGAGCAGCATCACCTCTTTCAACCTGCTGGTCACACTCCTTTTGATGCACCCCAGTATACTGCATCAGATACTGATAAACATCAGATACTGATAAACAGCTTAAAATACTGCTTGATGAATCTTGCGTAAGGACAGTATTTCCCTGAGACCTAAGCAGGAAATTCAGGGAACTTCTACTGGTACAGAACTGCTTGGGTTATTTTCTACTAGATGTCTAGATTGAGTGGGGGGGAGAGGGGGGAAAAGCTGCCGTTTGCTTGACAAAAGCTCCCAAGGGGACTATCTAGACTCATTATGACAGTATTGGAAATCTATGAATGCAAAAGCTTCATGCAAGCACAAAGTATTACCAGCAGCTGAAATGTTCTACTATCCACAATGTAAAGACATTTGCCTTGGAGCCATCCTTAATTTAGGGCATTGAGCAACATTTTAGTTAACTGGTGATGAATGTTAACCTCACACCACAGATCTTTGTGATTGAAGATCATGGTGCAAACTCTGAGCTAACAACTGCCATAAGTCACCTGGACCTAGCAACACCCTGCTCTCCTACAGCTGCCTGGGGATCAGCACAGAGCATGACATACAGCATATGCCTTTATTACAAACTAGTATACCAGGAAAATTGAAGGTTTTCAGAAGGTACCACAATGGACTGGATAAGAAGAGGTTTTGCACTACATACCTACTGTTGTGGGCATTCAATAGACCAGATATGATGAGTTTCGTATTTTCTGACAGTGACTGATACCAGAAGGTACAAAAGAAAGGTGCCTGAAATGTACTCATGCACAATTTCAGCATAATCCCTTCACAGAGAAAGAGCTTTGTTAGGTTCTTGGCCAGTTATTAATTGATTTATGCTTGAAATGTATTTACACTATAAATTCTTAATGTTGTCTGATGTAGTTATGAATGTCTTCATCCACAAAAAAAGCCAAGAACATTTGCAACTTTTCCCTAGTAGTATGGCTTAAATGAAATCTGTTGTCTTTGAGTTATTTATATATCTTAAGTATAACCTCTTATTTACCTCATCATATTTCCCCCATCTGTAAAAAGGAGATACTACCAACTTGTCTATCCCACAGGGGCCGAAGCATTAAAATAGTAAAGCACTGTACATTGGAGTTAGTACAAACATCTGTCCTTTATACATCCTCTCCCTAGATTTGATCTCTTTCATTCTACCCGCTAAGCTTGTCTGTGGTCATTTTAGAAAGAGTGAACATTTATAAAGAGGAAATAACAGAAGAAATACAGGAATGCAACAGATATTTCAAGGTCCACAAACACAAAAGTTGGGTTGGTAGACAGAACAGGGACACCTCAAACATTCTTAAACGTTAAGCCTTTATGATAGGGAAGATCAATTTCATTTTCTGGATTTAGAGGAGAAATTTCACAGTTTATTCTTTTCAAAACTCTGAATATACAAGTGCTGCTGGGGAGCAGGGGAGATGGAATAGAAAAGGTAGCTACTCCATGATGCATTTGAAAGAAGTGTTTCCAGCTGCTTGCGCTCCAGCAACACATCTGAGCACTGATGTGTGGTACCTAAAGTCTCTGTTTCTTGCTTGGCAAAACTGCCACAGTTCCAATGTTACGGTAGGCTTAAGAGGAGGCGTTTGGGGATAAAATGCACTATGTATGTGGAAAACCATTTCTTTGATGTTGTTTCTACTTCGCTAGCACACGGAACTTTATGAAGGCTAGTACATTAAGATGTCACTCTCGGCTCCTGCCTAGGTACAAAGGCAGCTTGCTTCCCTTAATAAAGATATTTTCTATCCGCACCAAGATTTACCCAGACCTCCCTCCTTTATTTAAGCTCCCTACTCATGTAGTCAAATATAAGGGCACTTACACTTTTTTCAGTATCTTCTCAACGCTATACATACTTAAAACTAGTTGTCTATTTCTTGGACTTTTCCAGTGGCCCTTCCACGTAAGTAATAAAACAGCAGAGACCACGATATTTGATTCTTTCCCTCAAGTTATATGCTCTTCAAGCACAAATAAAAATGCAAAAAGTAAACGAAAGCCTTTAATTCCGTAAAAGCATATGACTAATTTAGTCATCTGCCACTGCTAACTGCCATGTCTCAAGCTCTTCTCGACTGCATCTCAACAGTTGTAGTTATGTTTTAAAGCTTTCAGAACTTCCCCTCATGATATGAAAACAGTAGAAGAATTTAAAGATCTGGGTGCAGAGGAAGGAGGGAAGGGAAATCAAAAATCACCCTGGAATTCACAACTATGTAAGAATTCAACTTTTACTTTGGATGAAAATGCAGGCATACACAAACATCACATCAACTCTGAAAGAGTTTTTACATCTCTGAGGGAAGTCCCCAAACAGCAGTTACTCAGTTGATGCCACTTCAAACCCTTCTGAATCAGAAATATATACTCTTGTGAACTGACTCAGGAAATCTGTCTCAAGAAAAGGATGAATTCAAAGGAGACACAGGATACTGAATTTGGAATGCATCTCCTGTTTTCTTCAAGAGAACTCTGAAAGGGTGTCTTTGACAGGACAACTCTTGGGATCACTTTGGACAGACATTCAGGAGCCTGCATCAGACCACAAATTCAGAGTTGACATTGCAGTAGAATTAATCCTTCCAGCAGTTCTGTTCTTGGAGGGTCAGTGCATCTCTTGATATGACTGAACTCCTAATTACCTTGGGTAACCTTCAAAAATGGGGTATAGCTGAAGCCAAATAAAAATTACTGGATAAGAGATCCAAGAGCATGCTCCAAAATGCTCAATCACAGTATCTTACTCACAAGACAGGGAAGTGCTGTATTAAGCCTTTTGATCTTAGGTATACCAACATACGTGTACCTTATTGTCCCGAGAAAAGGTCTTCTGTTGAAGTCAACTAAAAATTTAGGTTCCTCAATGGCAAGAAACAGATGGATTCTGCTTCACGATTATGACAATGCTTACTCAGTCCAAGAAAATCTCAAAAGAAATACAGAAGGATGTAAGCAGTTCCCAACTAACTGTTTTTCATCAAAGCAGGCAATTGGCTGATGACAACAGAATTCTTTATTATGTTGTGTAACTCTGAGAAACAAGACAGTATAAATGGATGTTTTTATGTTAATTCAGCCAAAGATTCTATGAGCAATGGAATGAGCAAGTTACCAATATTTTTTTAAAGACAATAGCATATAGCCTTGGAATATAATTTAATCATCCTCCTAGAAGGAGGGCAAGTCAAAGTGAAGCAATTTTGGATACACACTTTTCATATCCTTACTTAGCATATTCATGTACAAAAATGCTGTTAGCCCTAGAATCATTTTGTGGTATTAGAGTCACTAAAGAATCTACACAGACAAAACACTATGAAGAAACAGATGGAAAAAGTGGTGAGGGATGTGCTTTGCCAAAGACTCTGCACACATCAAGTAAAATATAAATGTAATACACCATTAATTCAACTACAACTTCCTATGCTTTCTTTGTGGTTATATATAGATTGCTCTCCCAGGCTTTTTATAAATATTTAATAGTATTATTTGCTTGTACAAGCTGGGAATTTGAGACGAGGTCTCCAGCTCAGTTTAGACTTAACTGATGTGATATCTCTGTACTGCAATTTCTACCTGTTTGGCTTATACTCATACTGTCCCCTAAGTGCAGAGCCTCTAAATGGAAGTTTTCCTCAAATCCCACTCCCTGGGATGCTACTGGGCAGAACATGTAAGGTACAGTACAACCATGACAAAAACCCCACTGCATAGGAATATTACAAAATAGTAGAGAAACTGTGGGTTTGTTGGGTTTTTAATTGCTGCAAGAACAAATAATCAAAGTTGTTCATGCAACTATTCCCTCTGCAACTTTGTCTATGTAGAAGAAAGTTAAAGCAAGTGGAAATAGCAAAAGAATTTAACCACGTCCTAATCAAGGCAGTTTCTCCAGTTGTTTTGCCTTCCCAGCACACAACTTTTCTCACTTTTTCTGATACCTACCATATTGCTAGATGAATTTTTATGATTCAGTGAGGTGAGATAAAATATGGAGGAAAGAAGATAAATGGATTCTTCTCAGTGCAAATATTGAATGTAGGACAAGCTGAGTACATCTCCTAAACAGCTGTAGTCACAGAATGTAGTAGCACTCACTATATCAACAACACACACAGTTTGATGGTGAAGGAAAGACCATGACCTCATTTCTCCAGCACATTTTTCCCCACCATGCCAGCTTCCATCACCATCCCACTATTTCACCACCCATTCTTTTACTGGAAGCAGAAGTTTACATCGAAGAATGAAATTGCAGAAATACTGGAATGAGGATGCCATTAATAAAAAATACAAAATTGATGCAAAAAAGAGTTCTCACTTGTCCTGAGGATCCCTCTGTAATTTAAACAGTGTTCCAATCAGAAAGGAAAAGGTAAAAATCACACTGCAAACCAAGGTGCCCAAACATAGCACATACCAAATACTGGTCAATACCTCAGGCATCTTCTCTTCATCATAGGCTGAGCTTCCAAATAAGCAAGTTAAGGCAGGACATTTTTGTAATTCCACTTTTTCTAATACTTCAAATAGATGCTTAAACATAAGGCTGATAATTATAATGAAAAATCCATTATATATTTCTCCCTTCTTTTAATTAATTTTTCCATTAAATATTATAAGTAGTTTTCAGCATCTAATAGTCTGCAACATTTTGCATGCTGCTTGCACTGTGCTTTCTTTAAGAAACCAAGCAGCCTTCATATTTAAACAAGTAGAGATAAAACACTAGTCAAAGTTGATTCTCAAGTATAACAAGTCTGGGAATTTGAGCCATCAATGCTTCCCAGGCAAACACTTTACTTGGAGTGCTTACATGGGGGAGCCTCCGTGGCATCTGAATCAGAGTCATAGGCAGGCAGAGATGGAGAATTAGCATGGGTGCCTGTTGTACAGCACTGCCCACCCCCTAAGAAGTCAAAACTGAAGTTAATGCTCATCTTGAACTCTATGGGCAGAAATTAACCGTATTCCTTTCCTTAAACTGCTGAATTCCTAACCTGACATTTGAAAGCTCCACACAAAAGAAGTGGAAGCAAACATTAAAAGAAAGCATAAATGCCAGTGCTACATGTTTGCATCCACACAATGGCTGATGAGTTTAGTGACAAAAGAGATTGTTTGGTGCTTCAGATTGCTACAGAACCCACCTATTGGAAAGGCTGAACCCCAAGAGAAAGAATAAAACAACGATGCTTGGTTTCAAAGGCAAGAAAAATATCTTCCATTAGAGAGATGATTCTGACTCTCTTACCTGCTGATGTAGTTTTCCACATATAGTAATATTCTATTATGCTTGTTAAGGACTTCCATGGGAGCTAAGGACATAAAGAAAAAGCAGCAGTCATTGCAGGGAACTGGCACACAGCCTCACTGAAATTCACATGATTCCTTTGACAGTTTCTAGCAGAGTCTTGCAACTACTAACCCTCCTAACAAAAAAAGACAGCCTTAATCTCCTAAGGGCATTAGATGCACATGGGACCCATGTTAAATGAAATGCTTTTTCAAAAGATAGTGGTTTCAGTGTAGAAGTGGAGCAGGTTACAGGTAAATCTTCATGCTGCATTGACTCCACAGTAAACAGTTCAAGAGGCACAATGTGGAAGGAAACCTACTGGCTCAGACTCTCTCAAAGCAGCAAAGACTCGAGCAAGAGTCACAACTACACCATCACAGTTCTGATTCTGCTTGGCTTCTATGGAGTTGGCCCATCAAAAAACCCCAGTAATAGCTACTAACAAAATTGTGCCCTGCCAGCTCTGTTGTCTGTGTTAGAAGCACAAGGATTTCAGCA